GACAAAATTAACATGAAAAGATGATCAACTTCTTTAAATAATCCAATCAGAAAGTGCAATTTATGGGGGGCAAAGAAGTGGGTGAAGGGAGAAAGCAGACGATGTAAGATATGAAAATAATAATAATTTATAATTTATCAAGGGTTCATGAGGGAGGGAGGTGGGGTTTGAGGGAGGAAAAAATTTGAGGAGCTGATACCAAGGGCTTAAGTAGAAAGAAAATATTTTGAAAATGATGGCAACATATGTACAAAAGTGCTTGACACGATGGATGGATGGATGGATTGTGCTAAGAGCTGTAAAAGCCCCCAATAGTATACTACTTCATTTCTCCCAAACAAGCAAAAAATAGTAAGTTCGATAATGCTGTACATATGTGAAGAAAATGAAGAGTAAAGGGAAGTTGCGTTCACCACAGGTAAAGTATACTCTAAATCAGGACAACCATCTTTGAAGTTACATTATCTGACAAAGTTGAAGCACAACAAACCAAGCCACTGCTATTGAGTCACTTCCAATGAGCTAAATCCAACCCATAGCGACCCCATCTATATGTTTCCAAGACTGTAAATCTATGAGGGAGCAGGGTGCCTTTTTCTCTCCCAAAGAGCAGGTGGCAGGTTTAAACTGTTGACTCTGTGCCCAGCCCCTAACCAGCACTCCCAGGGCACGTACTGTAAAGGAAGCCTGTGAGAGGTGGGACTCAACAGAACTGCCTTGTTTTTCTGGGTCTCACAAGTGTCTTGCCTTTGACAGTGTGCAGTCTGCAGTCGCCACTTTTCTATTGCTCGTTTTGGTAGAAAATATTTGAGTTTTCCTTCTTTTCCACGCTTCCATCTTAGAGTTTCCAGCTTCAGCAATTTCACTGCCTGTATACTTAGATATTACAAACATGAAGAAGAGCATTATGGCAGCCCAAATTGTCTCTTTATATAGGATAAAATAGAGCAGTCGTTCCCAGAGTGGTGGTGTGGAACCAAAAATGTATACTCTCTAGAATATTATGAAATGTGTCATCATTTAAATCAGCTTAATTCAGTGAGTCAATATTTTCTAAATGACCACTAGATAAGTGAAAGATGCCTTTAAACTACAAGACAGAGTATGGGAAGGCCATTGATAAGGTTTGAAATTTTACACTGCAATTAAACATTAAGAAACTGTTAGGTTTTGATGAGTATTAAATAACAATATATATAATTACCTGAAAAATCTATTAAAATATTCTCTTTTCCAACTAAAGGATCCCTGTTGGCACAGTGGGTTACACAATGGGCTGTGAACCAAAAGGCTAGCACTTTGAAGCCACTATCTGTTCTGCAGAACAACAATGAAGCTTTCTACTCCCATAAAGAGTTCGTCTTGGAAACCCACAGGAGTTCTACCCTGTCCCATAAGGTCACTATGAGTCAGAATCGACTCATGGCAGTGGGTATGGTTTGAGGTTTTTTCCGACTACAGTTCAGTAAGACCAGATTTTCTTCATACATTTAAACCAAAACAATATTAGAATAGATCTAACCAAAACCCTATTGCCAATGATTGCAATAACTCTCATAAGATAGACTAGAGACTCAGTTTCCTAGGCTGTAAATCTTTTACTGAAGCAGGATGCCACAACTTTTGTGGAGCTGATGATGATGGGTTCAAACTGCCTACCATTTGGTAAGCAGTCATGTGCTTTAACCCTCGTGACACCAAGTTCTTTCTAGTCATTAAAGGAGATATTAAAGATACTTGCAGAAATAATGTCACTCTTTTATTAATTTCTTTTTATTTTTGGTTTGGGAATATAGTTTTCATTAAAATGTTACTTGTGTTACAGGGTTTTTAATGCATCAATATATAGTTTAAAATGTTACCAATTTTCATATCTAATATGGTTTCAAAAGTGAAAAAAAGTCTGAGACCAAAATGTTTCTTAATTAAATGCTTTAGCATGGATGAATTTCTAAAACATAATGCTAAACAAATACCCTCTCAAAGTACATAGTGCGATCCTAATGAAAACTCTAAAATAGATAAAAGTAAACAATATGCTAGTTAAAGGCACATATATAGGTGTTACAAAATATAAAGAAAAGCATGACAATAATGAAGGCAAAATTCAGAATGACCATTGAGGAAATGGGAAATGCACACAAAGGGCTCTGAAGGAACTTAATAGTCTACCTAAGTGAGGCACACAGATTTTTTTTTTTCCAATTAGGCATTTCAATGGCACATTTCAAAATAAATATTTTAAGAACAGTCAGGGAGCTATACCTACTCCGCATAAAGAAAAATGCCAAGGGATCTGTAAAGTTATATCCTAACAAAAGTTTTGGTTTTTTTATAAAGATGATTCTAAATTTCATGAAAGAGAAAATGCAAATGGAGAGCTAGCATTTTTTAAAAAGAGTACCAAAATGGAAGGGAGGGGGGAAAATGAGCAGCTGATACCAAGAGCTCAAGTAGAAAGCAAATGTTTTGAGAACGATGAGGGAAACAAATGTACAAAAGTGCTTGACACAATAGATGTATGTGTGGAGTGTGACAAGAGTTGTACAAGCCCCCAATAAAATGATTTAATTATTTTAAAAAAAAGAGTACCAAAATGTTATAAAACTATAGCAATCAAAAGTGTGGCTACAACTAAATGGGTCAAAGAAAAGAAAGGTGCTCAGAGCCCTTTTTTAAAAAACGAGCAAAGGAATCAGCTAAACATCAGTTTTTCTTATTCACCAAGGGCAAATAGAATCAAAACAAGATATTCTTTTCAGTGATTAATTGACAAAATATAAAAATAATACCATCCAATGATGGTTAACAGGGAAAAAGAAACACTTTTTGAGAATGAATAAAAAAGGGTACAGTCATTTGAGGTCAATTTAAAAATATTATTTTCCAGCATTCTCATAATTCATCAATTCTATAGAAATAGAATATATACAACATTTCAAAGATGGTCTTTTCTTAAATTTAATTGTGGATAAACAGTTTCACCTTTTTCTCTGGCCTGCCATCGATACTGATTGAAGGTATTATTTAGTTACTCAATTCTACACAGCAGTTTTCAATATTAGAGTATTCTTACACAATATGGAACATTTGTTTTGTTATAAACATGATGGGTAGGATTACTATTAGTCTTACATCCTATAGTATTAAAATACCACCACGTTTCTCCCACTAGATTCCATTCTAATGCATTTCCTGGAACTCTTTGGGCCCTCTCTGATCACTAAGGACTACCCACATAAACACCATATAACAGGAAGGTTCAAAAAGTTAGTGGACAAACTGAATTAAGAGATAATAGAAATTTCCCAAGAACTTTTTGCAGCCACCTTGTACTTGGGACAGTACTTGTAATAAACTTTATCATTCTAATTTTATCTTACAGGAAAATAAAGAAGGATAAAGGAGGATCATTTAATTTTATAGAAGACAAGGGTATTAAGAGATATTTGAGGATTTTCAAAATACTTCCCTCATAATTTGAGATTCACCCACCACGTTTTCCCACAAAATGCTTAGTGACACCTTCAGACGTAATGGTAACTTGCATGGACCAAAATACGACATTGCGCATAGTTCTCAAATTATCTTCCTAGTGCACAGTCCTCTTCCCTTTCTACGTACTTTAAATAAGTCAAGCACTTCCCTGCAGTCTCTTTAGAAAGAAACTCTAGGAGCAGACTTTTGTAAAGAACTGTAGGCGATCTGTGTAATCAACATCACTGACAATGCACTGAAAAATACAAGTAGATGTGGTTGAGTTGGAGAAATGTTTTGTTGTGTAGATTTTGACTGCTTTATGTATTTTTAAAGAAACCCGTGGGAAATTATTTTCTACCCATTCGAAACGCAGCAGTGAGACAAATTGGCCAAGCGTTTAATTAAAATCTCCCTGAGGATGCAGCGGTCCTCTGGCACGTCGCTTAAAATTACCCTACCCTTATCTGGCCTCCAAAAGGTGAATTTTGAAGCCCTGAATTTGAAGAACCTGCAAAAGGATGACTTCCTAGAAACACTTGGCATCTACATATTAGCAGTATTGAGAACGGCTACAGGTGGCAAAAAGCTGCTAACCTTAAGAAGCAGAGCGGGTACCGGAAAAGGCGACCCCTCGCACTCCGTGCCGCTGCGCGTTAACCGCTCATCCAAGAAAGACGTGCAAAAGCAATCATTTCTGTAAAGTATCCCAGCAAAGCTCCCTCCGCTCTCAGCGGCCACCACAAAAGCCTCAAGCAGCACGTGCATTCAACCCGGGGGATTGGAGCGTCCCCTTCCTTCCAGCGGGGGGGGGCTACACAGGTGCCCAAACCACTGTGCCCCCAAACGGACGAAGTTCTCTTTTACCTGCACTGGGTGCTGTCGCCGCCCCTGAAGTCTTCACATCATTGCTCGAGCTCGTTGCCATGCTTTGAGATGTCGTCCGCTCTTCTCCCACATGGGTTTCCCTTTTTCTTAATACATCAAGGGGCGACTCTTGCTTCTTAGGAATGAGGACCCGGAGGAGCTTCTGTACTTTCTCCTCCTCCTTCAATTCCCAATAGCCGACCTCAACTTCCAAGTTTGCAAACCTCTGCAAAATCCTCCCTCAAAGGGCCCCCCGAGTTGCAGTTCACCAGCACTGACTGGGTGGCTGTGCCCAGGGCGCCGGGAGGAGACGACTCCGAGAAGGGGGACGACTGCGGAGAGAGGGGAGCCCCCAGTCCCGGGGGCGGAGCCTGGGCCGCCCCGTTTCGCTCTGGAGCCAACGGTGCCCCCAGGTGCTGACGGGACTGAAGGATTGGGGTGTCCGAGAGGAGTCCGAGCTGTCAGGTCCGCCGCGCTCTCCGGCAGAACATCCAGGTTTTCCGATATCGTGTATATTATTTTTTTTCTCTTCATAAAAAGCAAAGGACCCCGTGACGCTCCTCGACCTGAAGGGACATGTCGACTTTCTCACCGACGCGCTCAAAGCAACCGGAAGTAAAACCTCGCGGCTGAAGGGAAAAGAAAAAAAAAAGAGAGAGAAAGTGAAAACTGAACTGAGGCGTCAGCCTGAGGAGTCGGGACGAATCACGGCGCCTCCGCGGCGCAGGCGCGCCTCGCGCTGCGCGGACACGCGGCACTCGCCTCCCCCGTCTGCGCAGGCGCGGGGGCCGCCGCGGGTCCCGGCGTCAGAGACCCGCGTCTGCGGCCCGCGGCGAACCGGAAGGGCGGCACCCAGGGAGGGTCTTCCTCCGCCTGGCGGCTTCGGATCCCGGGAAAGATGCCTAGGCGGACGCGTGTTGTCAGTGTTTGACTCATAGGGCTTCAGTGTTTCCCAGCTGAACTACCCAGGGGTGTTTTTTTTTAACATGGTTATCCCAAAATCTCCTAGGAAAAGAACCAAACTGTCGCTGGATACCATTCGGTTCTATGAGCTACTGTGCCCCGTGATTGAACGATGAAGCGATGTATCCATGCGGTTAAATGTCACCAGGATAACGTGAGGCTTAGATGAACAGGGTCTTGGCCTGCCATGGAGCTTAATTCTGGAGCTGAGTAACAGTAAACAGGTAAACAAGAACAGCATAGAATTTCAGATGGGGATTTGGGCTGGGAAAACGAACTGGAGGCAGAAGAAGGCAGAGCTTCACAGGGGACATTTGAGGAACCCTGGTGGCACAGTGTTACCCTAACCACAAGGTCAGCAGTTCTAGCTGCTCCACGAGAGAGGTGATGTTTTCGATTCCTTTAAAGATTTACAGCCTCCGTAACCCCCAGGGTCAGTTCTGCTGTGTTCCGTTGAGTTGGAATCCAGGGCAATGAGTTGTTTTTGTTTTCAGGTCAAACCTGAATAATAAAAACCAACCAACCTTTTCCTTGGTAGATCTAGAAGAATTTTTTTTCTTTTTAAGAATTTATTTATTTATTGTTGAAAATATACACAGCAGAGCATACACCAACTAAAAAACTTCTGCATGTATCATTCAGGGATGCTGATTACAATTTTCAAATTGTGTAATCATACCCATCCTAGTTTTCCAAATCATGCCTTGTCCAGTCACATGGACTCAGTGCTCCTGAAGTCCCTAGCTAACCTTTTGAGTTGTTGTTGTTCATTTGACCCCATAGAGGTAGTTCTTTAAAATAGCACAATGTTCAAAGCAGATATTCTTGACTGTTGCTAGTTGTTTGTTAGATGCTATCAAGTTGGTTCCAACCCTATGCACAACAGAAGGAAACACTGCCCGGTCCTGCACCGTGCTCACAATTGTTTCTATACCTGAGTGCATTGTTGCAGCCACTATGTCAATCCATCTCCTTGCGGGCCTTCCTCTTTTTCCTTGTCCCTCTTCCAAGCATGGTGTCTTTCTCAAGGAATTGGTCTGGCCTGACAGCATGTCCAAGGTATGTAAGATGAAATCTTGTCATCCTCGGAGCACTCTGGCCTTACTTTTTCCAAAACAGATCAGTTTGTCCTTTTAGCAGTCCATGGTACTTTCAATATTCTTCCCCAGCACCACAATTTAAATTCTTCTACAGTCTTCCTTATTCAATATCTAACTTTCACTTGCATATAAGGCAATGGAAAATACCATGGGTTGCGTCAGACCGCTTTAGTCCTCAAAGTAACATGCTTGCTCTTCAATGCTTTAAAGAGGTTTTGTGCAACAGATTTACCTAATGCAATATGTCTTTTGATTGTAGCAGTCTTGACTGCTACTTCCTTGAGCATTTATTGTGGATCCAAGCAACACAAAATCCTTGACAACTTCAAATTTTTCTGCATTTACCAGTTAAGCTAAACTATTATTTGGTTTAAAGAGAACTTCAGGAAATAGTTTTTGGTTGAAGCTTTTAAAATTACCTAATGGCAATAGTTCCAAGAGTTCATTCAGCTTCAATGACTAAAAGGTTTGGATTCCATGAGAATTTTTAAAAAATCATTTTATTGGAGGCTCATACAACTCTTATCACAATCCATACACACATCCATTGTATGGCAAGCACATTTGTACATTTGTTGTCCTCATTATTCTCAGAACATTTGCTGTCTACTTAAGCCCTTGGTATCAGCTTCTCATTTTTCCCCTCCCTCCCCGCACCCCCTCCCTTCCATGAGAATTTTCAATTTCTGGTTCACATCTCTCCCATTTGAAGCAAGAGTCTGCCATAGAATCGTTGCTCACAAAATGTCCAGTAATGGTAGCCAGGCACTATCCTGTTCTGGTCTAAAGGCAAAAGAGGAAGTCCATTTCCTCCTCATTCCCAATTTTCCTTCATTCTCTGTTACTACAGGTGAATAGATTCCAATCATTGCACATTGGACCACAACTTGCAAGCTTTTAAGGTACCAGGCATTACACAAAAACTAGGAGTTAGAAGAAAAACTTTCCAGGCAGAAGGCAAAGCAAGTGTATAGGGTTTGAGAAGACGTGAAATTAAGCACGTTCAAGAACTGAAGTGTTGGCGGAGAAGCAAAGAATGCAATATGATAAGAAAGTGCACAGAATCAGAGTGTGCCATGTATCACAAAGTAAATATCCATGAACTCACTACCTGGTTTAAGAATAACACACCAAACTCACTATCTTTAAGTAGATGCCAACTCATAGCAACCCTACAGGACAGAGTAGAACTGTTCCATGGAGATTCCAGGACTGTAATCTTTAAGGATTACACTTTCACTTCTTTCTTCCATGGAGTAGCCTGTGGGTTCAAACCACCGACCTCTCAGCAGCTGAGCACTTTAACCACTGCACCACAAAATAACCGTTCTGTACCTTCCATTGTAACATAGTCCTTGTTTATAGATTTGCCATGCCCGTATGCATATCTAAACTTTTACAATTTAGTTTTGCTTGTGTTTTGGATTTTATATAATTGAACTATTTTGTGTTGGATTAATTTGGTAGAATATTATGTTTGTGGTGTTCTTCGTGTTTGGGGTGTTCTTTCACCTTCAATGTTGTATATGTAGGACGAGTTGGAATTGACTTCATGGCAGTGAGTGAGTAATATGTAGAAAAACCAAAGAAGGACGGATGCATTTGCATTACAGTGTTGGTGAAGACTATTGAAAATGCCATGGACCACCAGAAGAATACAGCCAGAATGCTCCTCAGAGGTACGGTTGGTGAGACTTCTACACTGTTGGAGGTACTATTAGGAGGGCCAGTCCCTGGAAGAGAACACCTTGTTTAGTAAAGTAGATAGTAAGCAAAAAGGAAGAAGATTGTCATAGTGAGATGGATCGTCACAGCGGCTGTGACAATGGGCTCAAATATACCACTTGTAAGGATGGCACAAGACCGAGCACTGTTTCATTCTGTTGTACGTGTTGTCTGAGTCTGAGTCAACTCAATAACACCTAAAAACAACCTGTGGGTTGGACATGGGACTTTTTAAAAATTAAATGCATTGTCTGGTTGATGGGCATTTGGATTCTTTCCAGTTCTTGGCTATTAAAAATAATGTGACTATGAATTGTTTTATTTATGTTTGGTGCACATGTAAAATCATTTCTGTTGGGTGTATACCTAAGAGTAAACTGCTGGGCATGCTGGACATACAGTAGAACCCTCCGCGGACCTCAACGCTAGTCTGTTCTAGGACCATTGAGATGCGATGCAGTCGAGTTCTGAATCAGTTTTTCCCATAAGAAATAACTGAAAATGGAATCATCTGTTCTCGACTACCAAGTTTTTACCCTAACCTTACAGCCCAGCAGAGAAGCTAAACCTGATTATCAGTGAAGGAGCACACTGGTGCTGGCCAAGTTCAGTCTCGGAGCTGTGCCAGCTTATTTGTCCTGTGAACCGTTTGGAATCTGTGGTACTTTAAATACCCTTCACTAGCATCATAAATGAGATGCATGGATCTTCAGTCTTCCTTATTCAGTGTACAACTGTCACATGCATATGAGGAAATTGAATGGGGCTTGGGTCAAGCACACTGCAGTCCTTAGTGTGACAGCCTTTGGCTCTGCGAAGCTGCCCTACCCTGAAGATGAAGGAATGTGCTCTCCACTTTGGGAACACTTCCACATTTTGCCTGTGTGCTTCCTGACCTGATCCTGAATTGTTCCTGTTACTTTGAAGTTGACCCTGATTCTACATTGTAATATGTATCACTACAAGGTACATGTTACCTTCCTAATAAACCACATAACAGTGAGCATAGGCTATGAGTTCTGTGTGGCTATCATGAACTCTGCAGAGAAGTAGATAGTTTTGTGAGGGTTGTGGCTGGTGTCCAAAATTAAAGGGAGAAGACAGAGATATAACTGACCTTCATCTCATAGGAAACAGCTCTGTGCTAGGCTTGATTTTTATCCCTCATGAATTATGCTATACTACACTTTATGTATAGCATATGCTATACTACACTTTCTCACTATTGGCCAAGGTTGCTTCTTGATGTCTCTAATGGTAGGCATGATCGAGTACTTCTGGCTGATAGAAATGAGGTGAGGTGCCATAGAGTCATTTCCAACTCTGCAATCCTGTGGACAACAGAATGAAACACTGCCTGGTCCTGTGCTAGCCTCACAATTGTTCTGCTTGAAACCATTGTTGCAGCCACTGTGTCAATCCAGCTCAAAGGTCTTCCTCTTCATTGCCCTTCTTTACCAAGCATGACGTCCTTTTCCTGGGACTGGTGCCTGCTGATACCATGTCCAAAGTACAAGAGCCATTGAATGTCGCTTTGGATCAGGCACACCGTAGTCCTGAAAGTGACATCTTTACTGTTCAATACTTTAAAGAAGTCTTTTGCAGCGGATTTGCCTAATGAAATGCATCCTTTAATTTCTTGAATGCTGCTTCTGTGAGCATTGATTGTGGATCCAAGCGAGATTAAATCCTGGACAACTTCAATCTTTTATCCATTTATAATGATGGTCTAGCTGTGAGGATTTTTGTTTCCTTTACGGTGAGCTCTAATCCATACTAAGCCTACAGTCTTGGATCTTTATCAGCAAGTGCTTCAAGTCCTCACTTTCAGCAAGCAAGATTATATCACGTGCATATCAAAGGTTGTTAGAAACCTTCAATCCCGATGCCATGTTTTTCTTTATGTAGTCCAGTTTCTCAGATTATTTGTTCAGCATACAAATTGAATAAGTAGGGAGACAGGATACAGCCTTGATGCCCACCTTCTCAGTTTAATTTAATTTAAACCACGCAGTATTCCCTTCTGTGCAAACGATTGCCTCTTACTCCAGGTACAGGTTCCACATAAGCATGGTGTTCTAGAACTCCCATTCTTTACAAAGGTATCCATAGTTTGTTATGATCCATACAGTCGAATGCCTTTGCACAATCAGTAAAACACAAGTAACCATCTTCCTGATATTCCCTGCTTTCTGACATCAACAATGATAACCTTTTTCCCACATCATCCTTTGAAGCCAGCGTGAATTTCTGGCAATTCCCTGTCAATGTAATGCTGCAACCATTATTGATTGACCTTTAGAGAAACTTTACTTGAATGATATATTAATGATATTGTTCAATAATTTATTCTGTTGGGTCACCTTTCTTGGGAATGGGTACAAATATGGATCTTGGTTGGTTGGCTAGATAGCTGCCTTCAGAATTCCTTGGCATAGACTAGTAAGTTCTTCTAGTGTTTCATCAGTGTGTTAGAAATAGTAACAGACATAATGAGCTGAAAGTGTAAATGTGCTTGTCCAGATTGACTGAGCTCTTACATTCAGGTAATTTGTCTGAAAAGAATGTGCCTATTGCTTTTCAGCCTGGACCATCAAAATAAACATACATGGAACAGATGTGAATCCAACACACAGCCCAACCTATCATAAGTCAGCAGAACCTTGGCCATCCAAAAGAGGAGTAAGCTTAAAAATGCTGTTGTCATAAAGCATGAGTTTAGAGTGACTTATTAGGTAGCATTGTAGAAATAAGGAATAACTATGTGTTCAACTTCAGTAAATAATATCAAATTTGTTGCAAATTTTACCAAGCTACACTCCATACCAAATTAATATATAAGATTTCTATTTCCACTTCTTTCTAATTTTAGCACTGTGGAAAATGTCATGGTCTTAATTTGCATTACCTTTAACTAGTCCTTTTGCCAATACGTTTTAGTGACTCCAGATCTATGAACAAATTCCTATGCACACTGCACATATCTTATTTTGAAGTAAAAAAACAAAACGGGGGGGGGGGGGGGGGAACACCGTGGGCCAGATAAATGTCCTCAGGGGACCACATGTGGTCTGTGGGCCATAGTTTGAGGAACCCTGGTATAGCTGTCCCACCCTAAGTAGAGCCCACTCCCTTCTGATAAGGATAGTAGTAGATTGTTTCCCTGAAGGAGAGCCCAGGGATGTCAAGTCCACTCGAGGGTGACCAAGGTTAGGCCGCCATCATGAATCTAGGTCCCGCCCATCTTGTCACATGTATACCTTTAGTCCTTCCCCTTCCTATCAGGTGTACACTCCCTAGCTCATCCCCTTCCTGTTAGGCTTATGCCCATTGTATATGCCCCTCCTATTGCTTGTATTGCCTATTGTACAACCCCTTCCTGTGAGGGATGTTTTTACCTTTAATTAGGAGGCATGCACAACCCCAAAGAGATATAAGCCTTGGTTAGCAATAAATCAGACTCGCTCCAGCTCTCTCCCCTGCCCTCTTGTCCTATGCTGTGTATAGACCTCGCTGTTGAGATTATGGCCATCCAGGAGGTGAGCATGCTACCATGAAATGTGTCTGACTATTTTACTCTCTCTCCTATCTCATTCTCTGACTTTGTTATAATCTTTATATATCTCAACCATACAATTGCGCTTACTGAACCCGTGATTAGTTATGGGGGCTGGCTTCCCCCACGAGTCTTAAAGGAGCTACCATAATAGATGAATCATTTCTGTTTCTGGCTACTTCACTATGCCTGAGGGTTATCTGTAGAGAAATCAAGTTCTATAACCAACCCACCATAAAAGTAGCAAACTCTGTATTGACATCTCTTGCTGAGATTTGACATCTCTGGATCAGAGATTACTACTCCTGGGGAGGGCTCAAGGTCAACTAGCACTAGGCCAAGATGGTGACTCCCTCATTGCTTCATTTATTATGCTACCCACTTATGATATTATCTATTGACTGTGTACATGTTAGCTGTATGACATGCATGCCTTATGAAAGATCTGTAAGCCCCATTCTATATAACCATTGCAAAATACATTCACTCAGTCCTAAAGTCCTGACATGGGATGAGGAGCCCCTGTGCTCTGCTGTCTTTAATATTTTCTACAATCGCAGCAAAGTCACTCCTAAGGACCTGTTTGAGTGTTGGGGGCCCCAGTATTCCAACAGGAACCCATCACTAATGTACAGATCTGGTTAGCCAATGGGAAAAGTATTATCCAGAAATTTAACACTTCTCATAGGGCAAGCCACATCAAAGACTTCCTGGAATATACCAAGGATCTCAAAGAAGCCCTCTCCTTTCCCTGGCAACCACTCTTGCTTTCCTCAGATTGCTTGATGAAACCCTCACTCTGGAAGAAGCAGATTTATACAATTCTTTCATCATCCAGAGACTCCAAAAAATAGCTGAGCCTTTTATAGGACTTTCATAGCACTGGTTTTTCTAGACTAAGTGGAAGTTTGACAGAAGAGCGATGGTTCTCAGTGGATATGCCAACCGAAATGGAAGAAAAAAATGGTCAAATTCCCTGGACTTCTGGCCCAAATCCTATTAAACTCGGAGGATATTTTTTAATAAATACAAATTCATCAAGGAAAGTATGACTAGAAACTGTATTCATTGCAACTTTTCCAAAAGGCTGCTCAAAGAGAATATACTTATTTTCAAATACTAATTAATCAGTGTAAAGGTATACGATGGGGCTTCAAAACAGTATGAAAAGGTAATGGGATTTTTTTCCCCCATGAACTTTTTGAAGCTGCCTTGTATTTTAATAGCAACATCATTTAGAATCTTAAAATGAGATACATTAGTAAAAATGCTCATTTATTGAAAGTAATATTCATTACCTTCCCAGTTGGCAGTGATTAACTAAAATATTAGCTGTCTCAGATTTAAAAGATGACAATAAATTAAAAATTGAAAAAATGTTGAAGAAGACACACATCACAACTTTGCCACAAGGGAATATGTATCATCCACAGCAAATATATCAATAGGGTACAAAAATCTATTACATGTAGTAAAATGCAAGATAATGGACAAAAGCCTAATATTGGTAGACAAGTTTTAAAAGTATAGATGTTGAAATTTCATTTCCAGTGCTGCAGCTCTGAATTTCCCCCTTTTTTGTTGTTCGTTAGTTTTAACAGAAGGTTTAAATCCCTCCTAAAAGCAGTGCTGGCAGTGGGGACGAAAATAAAGACGAGTTGGACAAGCAGGGAAACTGTAAGAGCTGAAACGTCTGTTGTCTTTGTAGACAGACAACAGATTTTCCTATTTCCAGGCCGAATGATTTATATTTAAAATTGGACCCAAAGTTACGTCTGCATTTAGACTAAGCAAAAATCTGGGTGGGCGAGGAATCTGCTGACTTTAGCAAACTTACTTTAGTAAGATTGTTTTATTGTTCGGTGCGGTTTCAGTCGATTTCTCCCAGAGACTCCGTAAGACAAGAGTAGAGTTGCCCGATAGGGTTTTCTAGACTGTAATCTTTACCAGAGCAGATTGTCAGGCCAAGCCTTCGGAATTTTGTGATTCACTTGTTAAGAACTCTTACTCAATTGTTTACTGGGAATAGTTCCGGAACACTAATAGCTTCCAGCTGGTCCTCCGATTTTAATCTACGAAGAATTTGTAGGGGAAGCAGTTTATTTTCAAACTGCACCAAAAGACGTAGATGATTTTTTAAAGGCGGACTTCAAATCTTTGAAATTATGATTTATCTAGAAAAAGATGATTAGCATCAACTCCGGAAGGAAGTGCTTCTTGAAACGTTTAAAGCAAGAAAGGAACTCGGGAAGTTTCCATGCAGACGATGGGAGCAGGTTTTCGCACTTGGACACGTTAGGTACATGTAGACATGCACACTCCCGTGGCGTGTCCAGGAAAGGGCAGCTGGCAAGGTTAGGCTGGTGAGAACTACAACTCCCAGCGCGCCCGGGCGCCAGCCCCGAGCGCCGATTGGTCGGGGCGAAGCCGGGCGCTGGCGCCGCCGGGTCCGGCGCGGTCCCGGTCCGCGTCCCCTGCACCTAAGTCGCCGGGACGCGTAGCCGAGGCGCTACCTGGTCTGCCAGCGGCATGGACGTGCGGGCCTCCGAAGGCTATTTCTTGGGCGACGTGGGTAAGCGGCGAGCGGAGAGGAGGATGCGGGCGAGGGGCACGGGGGATTGCGATGGAAAAGGATCAAGGACCACCAGAGCCCAGGTTCATCTGAGAAGGCAGTAACTGGTCATGGCTCTTTGGCACTTGAATAGGTGCACCTGATGATGTTCCTTCCGGAGAACGGCGATGCGTCCTGCGGAGTTTATCACGTGGTGCATTTGGGTGGGCCCTGGTTGGAGGAGCACGTTCTCTTTATGTTTATTTGTCTGTTTAAGCACGTTCTTTTTTTTTTTTTTTTTTCAGTCCGGCCATATTTTTATTTCTTGCCCATTTAAACAAAACCAAACAAAAAACAACTGACCAAACAGATAAGCACGTTCTTAAAAGAAGGAGAATCTCAGTGATCCCGAGTGTTTCAGGCGCGGTTCTTGGGCCCCGCCCCTTGCAGCACATCGCAGAGGGCGTCGCTAGCACTTTGATGCCTCCCTCTGTCAAGAGATTTCAGAGTTGTAAGCCCATCAGAGCACGGCGCTTCTTGAGGGGAATTGTGGGGCGTTTGTGCTCGATCATTGCCACTTCCCGGGAGAATTTAGCTTAAAAAGAGGAAATTGCAGTCAGAGCAAGGGAATGATATTTTAATTGATTTTTCCAACAGCCATCTTCTACCTACATGATCAAAGGCAGCTAATAAAATCTGTTTTTACTTTGACATTGCAGGCTAGGCAAGCACCAGACTTTCATCCTGCCAGTGTGATCTGTAGCTGAGGGGTTCAAGTGAACAAGCAGGAACCACTGAAGCCTAAATGAACACAGTTTAATGTTTTGTTCACGTAGAGGGTTCAGTAGCATGCTGTCACTTCTGGTCATGTTTTCTGAGTAGCTAAAGCTTCTAAAGAAAAGTACATTCTGGAAGAGTGTATTTAGAAGAAAAGTACATTCTGGAAGAGTGTATTTTTGGGTTGTGGGTATTTTTAACTTTGTCATTGATTTATTTAATAACACATCCTCTACAAGTTGGCAGTTTAAATCAACCAGCTACTCTGTGGCAAAAGAGGCTTCCTGGTCCCATAAAGCTTCTGCTCTGCCATACAGGGCCACCATGAGTCAATATCAACTCAATAGCAGTGGGTTAGTAGAAGGTGAGACCAATTGTAGCTTTCTGACTTCAAATTGTATATGATGAATAGGATACTCCAACCTAAGTATTTAGACTTTCTGTTTGTTGGTATAACACCTCACTCAGGCCAAGATTACAGCCTTAGAACATGGCTGTGTCAGTAAGTGCAAAGAATTCAAGGAAAGTCACGCCCCGAAATGAATCCAGTGTCTATAATTTACCACATGTACTCCAAATCTGTATTGATCCACTGTAAATATTTATTTGCAAAGATGAAGACTCATTCTTATATTCAGCATTCATAGTCAGGAACTCTGACTTGGAATTAGGGGCTGGCGGAAGATGGAAAGGGGGACTTCGGGAATTTGAGGCTAATCAAGGTGAACTGCTGATACTCTTCAATGATCCTTAACCAAGAACTCTAAAATATCGTGTGCAGTGCCCTGTGGGATGTTTAGAAGATGAGGTGAAGAGAGATATAGGACAGGCAGCTCTTGGGGCACAATAAAGAGCCTCTAAGCTATAAGGTGCTTAGACATGGGGCTGCAAGATCAGTAGTTTGAAACCACCAGGAGGGCCTTGAAAGAAAGATGGGGCTTTCTACTCCCGTGAAAAAGTTCAATCTTGCGAACCTGTAGGGGCTCCTTTAGGGTTACATGAGTCTGAATCACTAGATGACAGCAAGTTTGGATCTATAAAGTTATGTGCCCAGCACTAGCTTCAAGCCCTGTAATGGCTGCAAGATGGATGTCGGAATTGATCATTTAGAAATGAAACAAAGGTCATATAGCCATAAAGTGACAAAGCTGAGGTTTAAACCCGAGATTTGTTATTGTTTTGGTTTGGGGCTTTTAGTTGTCATAAGGCTCATGTCATTTTTATCAAATTGGTTAATTGTTTTGTGGGGAATAATTAAGCCATGGTGATGGATAAGAAAAGTCTGCTGTGAGTTTCTGAGGGGAAGTGGTAGCATTTTACCACTTATTGGCCTTCTCTGGATTATACTATATTGCCTTTCCCACTGTGAATAATGCATTTGTCTTGAGAGTACACAGGCAGGATCATGGGTTTTCCTGTATCCCAGTGGCCAGTGATTTATAGTCACAGGAGCATATATGCTCCTGTGTGGTCTGTGGAATTAGACTTTTTAAAATATATTATTTTAACTAAATATTTAATTTATTTAATATTTATAAATATAGACTGTGAAAATATTAAATTTTAATTAAAATATAATTTAAAAATATAACATAAAACTATTTTGAGAGGTCTAGATAATCAATACCTTTATTGAGAGATAATCCTGATTAAGACCTTCTCAAATTGTTTCTGTCTCAGAGACGGCTGCATTTTTTAACTCTCCAGAATCTTTCTTAAGTTGGAACTCTTGGGCCCTGTGTTGTTCTGCTAACAAAAATGTTTGAAGGAAGTAAAAAGCAAATCCATTTCAGATGAATTTAAACTGCCTTCTTTGACATAGGAACAGAAGAAATGGGTGATGCTGGCTGGCTACCATAGCTCGATATTTTGATCAGAGATTAAAGGGTAGCGGTGGAAATGAAGAGCAGAGTTTTAACTTCTCATAGAATACTTTTCAGACTTTTTGGAGCCACAGATGAACCCTAAAACTATTGCCCAGAGATAATCCCATTAATCTTCAAGACTTTTTAAAACTAAATACTAGTTTAGCTTAACAAGTAAAAGATATCTGGTTTGGACATTTAAGGAGTAGTGAGTTGCTGTTTATGGGAAAGGAACTATGCAGCAAAGGAGGATAAGGAACGGTTGTAATCATTGTCACTGAACTGTACATGCAGTGTCCATGTTAAACTGATGTATGTCTTAGTGTGCACATAAAATGTTCATCATTATTCAGTTTATTAGGGAAGTTAATATTTTGCAGTTCAGGATCAGGCATCGTGTCTTTTCTCACCTGGGTGAGCTGGTTCTCAGTTTCTCAGCCACCAGGCACTCAGCTTTACCCTCTGGAGAGCTACCACTTTGCCTTGCCTCTCTTGCCAAGGGTCTTAGGGCCTAAAAAGTATGCTCTGCTTAACACTCTTTTTTGATCATCGAGAGATTCCCCCTTCCCCAAAGAAAAGAAATTATGATTTTATTTTAAAAGGAAGGCTTTAACACAAGTTGGGGTTCAGAAGCAATAATTGTGACCAGTGGTTGCCATAAATATTGTCATCTAAGACAAAGAAACTTTCCTTTTTTGGTATGATGGTTTTCTTGGACCACAAGGAGGAATTGGGAATTTATTCAGTTGAGGATCAAGGAATAATAGGTAAGAGCGAGGTGTCTTGGCTAGACTGCAAAGACCTTCCAGGAGGAAAAGGGGATAACTGGGACATTCGTTCTAGACACATTAAGAGGTGAAGATACACATTGGGCTGCTAACTGCAAGGTCAGCAATTTGAAACCACTAGCCACTCCCCGGAAGATGAGGCTTTCTGCTCCTGTAAAGAGTTACAGTTTCTACTTTGTCTTATAGCAGCAGTTCTCAACCTGTGGGTCTCGACCCCTTTGGGATCGAACGACCCTTTCACAGGGGTCGCCCGATTCATAACAGTAGCAAAATTACAGTTATGTAGTAGCAACGAAAATAATTTTATGGTTGGGGGTCACCACAACATGAGGAACTGTATTAAAGGGTTGCGGCATTAGGAAGGTTGAGAACCACTGTGTTATAGGGTCATTCTGAGTCAGAATCAACTTGATGGCAGTGAGTTTGTTTTTTTTAGTTCCTGTTAGCAATAAGCAACTGAACAGTGATTCACAGTATTAGCTGAACATTGAAATAATTTGAAGATTTTAAAAAATTACTGATGAATAATTGAGTCTCATCTGTTTCCAAAGGCTTTGATTTAATTGTCCTGAGGCATTGTCTTGGTATGTATCAACACATACTGTCTTGATATATATGTATAGTGATATATATATATATATCATATATACATACATATATATGTACAGTATTGTTAAGGTGCCTGTGGTAGTCACCTAATCTGGTGTCAATGTAAGGATTAAGAGTGTAGGGGTGGAGTCTAGCTTGTCAATCTGGAGATAACCAATGAGACTTCTGTGTGGGCATGGCCTTCTGGGAAATCTGGGACTTCCTCCTTGGAGGCGGAAGACGCTGCTCTTTCTCTGCCACTTCCTGGGAGACATTGCAGAAGACAAGCCACATGGATGCAACCACACCTCTGAAGCCAGAGAAGCCACAGAGAGACCCCTGTCAGCACTGAGATGCTTATAACGCCCCTGGACCCAAAGACTTTCGACCCACTGGCTTGTGATCGTCCTGCATTTGACTTCATTGCATGTGTTGCGTGAGTCTGCAAAGGACTTTATAGATTGGTATCGGGCATATGGGCTAACATCAGACTTATGGACTAGATCTGGACTGGGCTGGGATGTTTTCTCCATGTTCAATTGCTCTTGTATATAAACCTCTTTCTTATACACATATGTGTGTCCATGGATTTGTTTCTCTAGTCCACGCAGATTGACACGGTGCTGTTGAGTTGGTTTGGGTTCATAGCGACTCTATGTACAACAGAGTGAAACACTTATATATATTAGCACATTTCCACAATTTGAAAAGGTTCTAAACAGTTATAGACTTTACCTTGGCATTCCACAAACAGTTACAATCTTTTGCAGGTTTTATTGTTTTTTAAAAACTTTTGATTGTTAATTAGTTGAAGGTTTATAGAACAGATATATATATAGATAGATATAGATATAGATATGTTCTCCATTCAACAGGACATAACCATTTTGTTTCCACAATGTGCCGTCACCTATCCTGCTCTCTACGTGTTTCCTGTTTCCATTCGCCCTTTTCCCCTAGCCCTCTCTGTTCTACATCCTTGGGTACATACTGCTCTTTTCAT